GGCTGATTTTTTGATTTATTGTAGAGATGAGGTCTCGTTGCCCAGGCGGGTCTCGAACCCGCGGGCTCAGGCATTCACTCACCTCAGCCTCCCAAAGGCGCGGGATTACAGGCTGAGCCACCGAGCCTGGCTATCCCTGCTTTCTTGACTGTTTCTTTTGCTTTGCAGAAGCTTGTCGGTTCGATGAGGTCCTGCTTGTCTATCTTATTTCTTAAGGCATGGGCACTTAAAGTTCTGATCAGGAATTGGTTGCCGGGTTCCAGTTTCCATAAGGGTGTCTCCTGTGTTTTCTAAGATTCTTATAGTTTGAGGTTTTACGTTTAGGTCTTTAATCCATTTAGACTTAATTTTTGTGTATGGTGATAGGTAGGGGTCCTGTTTCAGTCTTCTGCATGTGAGCAGCCAGTTTTTCTAGCACCATTTACTGAATAGGTTCTCTTCTCCCCAGTGGTTGTTGTTGGAGGCTGTTTTATTTTGTTATAGAGACATGGGATACAAGTGAGGATTAACTGCGTAAGTAGGCTGCATGCAGGTGAAGTTTGGGTTTCTAACTGGCCCTCACTCCCCCTGGTTTAGGACCACATACGCTTTGTGTTGCTATGTGTCTTCTGTCCTCCCCACTCCGCCCACCCCTCCAGCAGTGCCCAGGAACTGCCAATCCTTCCCTTGTGCTGATGTTCAGGGCCCACTAGAGTGAACACGCGGTGTTCAGTTCTTTGTTTCTGTGATAGATCACTTTGGATGGTGGTCTCCAACCCCATCCGGTGGCGCCTTCTTTTTCGTCTTTATGTCCCTCAGCATGGGGCTTAGTGCTTCACACACATGGGTGCTCTGGAAAGAAATGGTACCGACTCAAGGAAGAGTCTGTGTGATTGGTTTGGTTCCATCATCATCAGTACTCACTTTACGTGGTCTGTATATCCGCTGCCTGGAAGAATGGAGCAAGATGATGAGCATTCACCTTACACTTAAACTATTTCTAATGCTGTGCTGATCACTGTCATCAGCCGTATGAGACAGTGTGCCTGGTGAGTAACAAGACTGTTTCATTTGTTTTTGGACAGGAGAATCAGATGAGAGGGAACAGTCAAAATTGGAAGTCAAAGTTTGGGATCCAAATAGCCCACTTACGGATCGACAGATTGACCAGTTTTTAGTTGTAGCACGGTAAGTATGGCATTATTGAAGCAAAAAATACCTTTTTTTCATATAAAAGAATTTAGAGGTATATGTGTAGTTTCCTTTCTTTTTAGTCTGTTTTTTTCCCCACTCGTAGTTTTCTTTTTCTAATTATGTAAGAAAGCTTAATATATGATACACTGCTTCATAAATAATATGATTTATTAATTTTTACTGTTTAAGAAAACAGAAACATATAAAGAAATTCAATACCTGGAGTCCCTATGTTTAATGAAAGCTGCAGTCTCCTTTCCTCTAGACACAAGAAAATGCAGCTCGAATTTGCCTGTTGCTAAGCATAGGGCTCTCTCCTGAGAGCGTCCAGCCTGGCTGCCTGACTTCCATCCTCCCCTTCCTCTTTTCTTGAAAAAATGAATGGGGCAGAATTCTATTTTTATGTTTTCAATTATAGCAGTAAATGTTGCTCATGGGGAAAATTGCCACAGAGCAGAAAGTAAATGAGATTATCATAGCATTGTAAAAGCAGAAAAATTGGGGAAAAAACCTGACAGCAAGCAGTTGATGAATGAAGACGCGTGTAACGGAGTGTTACTCTGTGGCAAGTAATGAATGAATGAGGGCTGTGTATAGCAAAGAGGTGGCTCTCGGCAATAACGTGGAGAGGAGCGTGCATACAGTATGATCTTGTACGTCACAGCCAGTGACAAAGAGCACAGTGTGCCAAACAGTGCTGTACTTCATTAGTGGATTTTTTAAATACTTCCGTCAATATACGTTTGATCTGGGAATGTTTATCGGGATGTTTCCAGCCAAATTTTTTATTTTTATTTTGAGTTGAAGTCTCACTCCATCGCCCAGCCTTTCAAGTAACTTACTGGAACTACAGACACATGCCACCATGCCCAGCTAATTGTTTTATTTTATTGTAGAATCAAGGTCTTACTGTGTTTGCAGGCTGGCCTCCAACCCCTGGGCTCAGGCAATCTTCTCACCTCTACCTCCCAAAGTGCTGGGATTACAGGCATGAACCGCTATGCCTGGCCTCTCACCACATTTTTTATACCAAGTTCTTTAAAATGAACCAAACATGGCAAAATATTGAAATCAGTTAGACTTGGACAATGGATGCAAAGGTCTTCCTGCTATCCTCTGATTTTCTGTTGAACTTACTTCACGATAGAAAGGGAAAGATAGCTTCTCCTTAGACAGCACTGTTGATAGACAGCCAGTCACCACGGTCACACTTTATATTGGTGGCCAGACCCTTGGACCCCAGGGCTGTGCCTCTAACCACTAAGAAACTGGGTGAAGACACTTGATGTGCCTCTCTAGCGAGGGGCCAGTTAGTGGAATGTGGAAGGCACAGATCCAGGAAGAGAAGTGAGTTGTTGAGGAACCGCTGGCCCCGAGGCTCTAGACAGCCCGTCTGGATTGTGGATTGTTTAGGAAACATTGTAGTTTCAAATCTGATTTGCATTCTGTTTTTTCCTTTTCCTCGTCACCAAGGGCTACAGGTTTCCTTGTTCCTTGTTGCTGACGTGAGGGTCACCAAGTAGTTGGTTCCTAGGATCTTTAAATTTTCTCTTTTTAAAAAATTAATAATAATCGTAGCCAGGCATGGTGGCTCACGCCTATATTCCCAGCCCTTTGGGAGGTGGAAGTGAGAGGATTCCCTGAGCCCAGGGGTTCGAGACCAGCCTGAGCAATGTGGTAGGACCTCGTTTCTACAGTAAATAAAAAAATTAGACAGGCGTAGTGGTATGCGCCTGTGGTTCCAGTTACTTGGAAGGCTGAGGCAGAAGAATCACCTGAGCTCAGCAGGTTGAGGCTGTGGTAGCCGTGAGCATGCCATTGCACTCCAGCCTTGGTGACAGTGTAACTCCGCCTCTGAAAAAAAATTAATAATAATCTTATAAACAAATATTAAGACAGCAGTCAAATACCACTGCTCATCCACCAGAACAGTTAAAATTTTAGAGTGACAGTGCCAAGCATTGCTGAAGCTGTGTGTCAGCCGATGCTCTCATATCCCACAAGTTTGGAGTGGAAATCGGCACAGCTTTCCAACATAGCGATCCCCAGCCTTTTTGGCATCAGGCACCGGTTTTGTGTAAGACAGTTTTTCAGGGCAGGACTGTAGGGAGGATCACCGGGTAGTAGATTCTCAGAAGGAGCGTGCAACCTAGATCCTTCAGATGTGCACCTCACAATAGGGTTCACGCTTCTATGAGAATCTAATGCTGTCGCCGATGTGACAGCTCACGAAGCTCCGCTTGCCTGCCGCTCACCTCCTGCTGTCCTGCCAGGTTCCTAACAGGCCACAGACTGTACCAGTCTGCAGCCCGGGGATTGGGGACCTCGGTCTAACACACACATCCCTTAAGTTTCACTCCTAAAAATATACCCAGCAGAAATGCATGCATCTCTGCACCAAAAGATATGTATACAAATGGTACTCATGGCACTACTCATAGTCTCCCCAAACTGGAGCCAACATGAAATGTCCACAGTTGAGGCAGGGATCTTACACAGGAATGCTGTGGAGCAGGGGAACCAGTGAACACCGCTGTAACCACCAGTGTGGAGAAATCCACAAACATAATTTTGAACAAAGGAGGCTGGATATAAAATGTGTTCATACCGTGCGATTCTTTTTGTGCAAAAAAGATTCAACAGCCCTTAGTGTTAGAATCCAGGGTGTGAATTCCCTGTGGGAAGGAGGGTGGGAGTCGTAATTGGGAGGGAGTGGGAGGAGCCTCAGGTTGGGGGGGGTCATGTTCTCTTGACATGGATGTTGGCGACACAGGTGTATTCACAGCTGTACGTTGTGAACTTTTCTGCATGTGTGTTTGAATGAAGATGCTTAGACATTTTCTCCCTTGGCTAACCTGTTTAAAATACAGGCAGTAAGCCATAAGTCTTGTCTTCATTCATTCTGAATCTCTGGAGGTGGGGCTCCCGTACATACAGGAAGCCTTCTCGACCATGGCATGAAAGTTGTCATTGTGCTCATTTCCTTTTAAATGGAATTTTAGTAGAAATGGGTTTTTTTTTTGAATCCTCACAGGAAGGGGTTTCTACAGTTTATGATATCATTTCACGGAAAACATGCTACAGGATTTCACTGTCTGGGCTTTACAAAAATGGTCAGAAGTTGCTTTGCTGTAATAATCAAACTGCAGCTGACTGGCTTAGCTTTTGAGCCGATTTCAATACCAAAAGGTTTACTCCTTGGCCTCTGATACCAGAGCCTCCCTTTCCTTCTTTGTGCCTGCACAGGCTGTTTTTTCTCAAGTTCGTTGTGATGACTTGTTTCTGCTAAATTGGCTTTTTAATTACTAGTTCTTATAGAAGGAAAATAACCTTTTGTTTGATACTTGATTCTCAATGATCCAACAGCTTATTCTGCCCTTCCTCTGACAGTTCTTCATTCACTACCCAAGCGTGCTTTTTAAAACATCAGAAGCAATCACTGAGGCTTACTTTGTCCCTGTTGTGTGTGTTTGTGATTTGCTAGCGCCGTCGGGACGTTCGCGAGGGCCCTTGACTGCAGCAGTTCCGTGCGGCAACCCAGCCTGCACATGAGTGCCGCCGCCGCCTCGCGGGACATCACCTTGGTAAGATGTCCTCACGTCCTGGGGTCGCTCATCCTTCTGCTGCTTGCTTAAGTATAAAGCCACGTTCGCAGTCCTGTGGGCTAGAGAGCTTTCTGGCTCTTAACTTTGCTGGCTGCTAGGCTGATTCCATGTGGCTAGTGGGTTGGCGGGCATCCTGAGTCACTTTTCTGTTTGTGAGCTGAGAAAAGGGTTCATGGCTACTGCGTGGAACAGGTATGAGATCGCAAAAGAAATAAAGTTTTTTGTGTCTCTTTTATTTTTTTTTTATTCAGCATTCCAAGTAGCTGGAACTACAGGCATGTGGCACCACGCCCAGCTAATTTTTTTGACTTAACTGTAGAGATGAGGTCTCTCCAGGTTGCCCAGGATGGTCTTGAACCCATAGACTCAGGCAATCCTCTCATCTTGGCCTCCCAGAGTGCTGGGATTATAGGCATGAGCCACCGTACCTGGCTTCTCTTTTATTTTTTAGAGATAGGATCTCACTTCATTACTCAGGCTGGTCTGGAACTCCTGGCCTCAAGCAATCCTCCCACCTCAGCCTCCCAAAGTGCTGGGATTACTAGCGTGAACCACCATACCCAGCCAGCAGAGCTGTTTCCTTGCATTATTTTGTTACATAATGGTTGCTATCTTTTAAATCTGTTTACTTTTTCTTTTGGTGATCAAATGAAGCTTCCCATACTCAGTTTAATTGTACCACCAATATCAACTGTGGTCAGGCATTGGGCCTGACACTTGCTTTTTTCTCTGTGTTCTCCAAAAGGGTAGACCTGTAAGTTTTTTACTGATTGAAGTTACTTTATTTGATCCCATGCCTTTTGTGATAGGCATGGTAGGATTCTCATATTTTTTTTTCTTTTTTTGAGTCAGAGTCTTACTCTGTCACCCAGGCTGGAATTTAGTGGCACGCTCATGGCCATTGCAGCCTCAACCTAATTGGCTTAGACGATCCTTCTGCCTCAGCCTTCCAGGTAGCTGGAGCTACAGGCATTCGCCACCATGCCTGGCTAATTTTCCTTGATTTATTGTAGAGACGAGGTCTCGCCAGGTTGACCAGGCTGGCCTTGAACCTCTGGACTCAGGCAATCCTCTTGCCTCTGCCTCCTAAAGTGCTGGGATTACAGGCGTGAGCCACCATGCCCAGCCATGACTCCCATTTTACAGCTGAGAAAACTGGGGTTTTGGCGAGGGTAAGTTAGGATACCAGTATTCATAACATATAACAAATGTTGCTGTTTTGTTTTCTGATGAAATGGAATACAATGATAGGTCTTAATTGCTTTCTCATTATATGCCAATTTGAAATACTTGTCACAAAATATTTATTGTGATAATGTAAGAACTCACATGAGAATACGCATCAGGTTTGTTTCTTATGCTTTTTTTTCTTCTGTGTGTTTTTATACGGTCATAGGTTGTGATGAAAATCCTTTCTCAAAGACTAGAATGTTTCATTTTCTCCATTGGGACATTAATATTTTGTGCAACACTTCAGGATTTCCAAAATCTTGGTTATTTTTGTTTTTTTTTTGAGTTGGAGTCTCACTCTGTCGCCCAGACTGGAGTACAGTGGCTACTTCAGCCAACGCAGCCTCGACCTGCTGGGCTCCGGCGATCCTTCCGCCTCAGCCTTCCAAG